TTGGAAGCAGATCACCAGGCCTTTCTTCTGATGCTCCTCTGGGTGGACTCGAACCTCTAACACTTCAGTTGGCAGTGGAGCATGTCAGATTGCACTTTCCACACATGGTCACAACAATATAGTCCCACATGCTCTTTTCGAACTTTGCCATGGAGATGGAGTCTATGTCCCCTCCCCTGAAGCTGGCCGATTAAACTGGCATTTAAAATGCTGTACCAAGAGTTTGCTCTGCAATGCTCCCATGTAGTCCTGACGATGTCTGTGTGAGGTCAGCAAGGTTACCAGTGGGGGAACGGAGGCCGAGAGGCTGCAGGCAGCGTGCCTCAGGTCAAGGTGGGGCTCTGAGCTCTCACCCAGCCCCATCTCCACCTCCACACGCGGCCCCTGCTCCTCCTCTGCTTTCTGTCTCTGCCACTTTCCCAGGCGTCCCTATCCAGCCAGCTTCTGAAGTGACTGGCCCACACAGGCCCAAGAGGCCGGCCGGGCGGGGCTGCTGTGCCCATTCTAAAGGTGAGGAAGCTGGGTGCAGAGAAGGGGAGAGAGGGGCCCGAGGTTACCCGGCCCCCAGAGGGGTGGCCGGGACCAGCAGCCAGGTCCCTGGACGGCACGTGTCCCCCGCTGCCCCCCTCCAGGTCCCGCACTAGCGGCGTGAACTAGCTTTGCACCAGGACTTCCTGCAGACTTGGCAGCGCGGTGCTCCACGCCCTCTGGAAGCCGGCTCCCTGCCCTCCCCCCGGGCCTCTTCATCTGGTCTCTGAGTCCCCCCAGCCAGGACCCTGAGCCGCTGAGAGCCAGCACGCGCCCCTAACTACAATCCCAGCCCCAGGGCAGGAGCTCAGCGGAGTGGATGGGGAGCTGTGAAGCCTGTTTAAATGGAGCAATAAAAGTTTTGGGTTTCATATCCTCTTACTGCAGAAGAGAATAACAGACAGGAAATTTCAGTAGCAGACATGACAAAGGTCACAGCACGCAGTCTGCCCTCAGACAAAAACACCTCCGCTATGCAAACAGAGGCCGCTGGCGGGAGCCCAGGCGCTCCCCCATGCCAGCCTCACCCAGCGCCAGGGGAGACGCAGGCAGCCCTACAATAAACTGTTTTGTCTACGTTGTCGTAAATGTTTATAAAACTTCTCTGCGTTTGTGCCGCTTGAGGTATGCCGCACCCTCCCAGAGCTGGGCCTTGAGTCGGGGCATGCGTGTGTGCGTGTGTGCGTGTGTGCGTGTGTGCCGGAGGAGGGATGTGCCTGGGCACCGGCGGTGGGTGTAGGCAAGACGGCGGAGCCGGGCACGGCTGGACCTGGACCCTGGGTGGACAGGGTCCTGGCCGCTCTGCTCCCTGCTCCTCACGCAGCCTGGACCCAGGCCCAGGCCCGGGACAGCTCTCGTTAGTCTGTACCCACCCCACCCAGGTTCTGGAAACATCCAGTTTAGGGGAGAAAGACACCATCTTACCTCCATGTCCGGGGCATGGCTACCCCCTGCCTGTGTCACTTCCTTTAACCCAGGATCTTCCAAACCTCCATGTCCACGGAAGTGCCCCGACCCTTTATTTTCTTACACCGTGTCCTGCCCCATAAAACACAGGACGCCGTGGGAGATTTGCGTCTCAGGTACACTAGGAATCATTTTTCTGTATACACGTGTCTCACGTATGCAAGTCTCAAATATCACACCCGACACATGTACCCCGACTAGCGATTCACCGTTCATCCGACATTCAGGTTTAACTCTGTGTCCTGTATTTTATCTGCAGCCCTACACATGTGCCTTCTTAAATTGAAATTAGTTAAAATGAAACAAAATGTAGACATTCGGTGGTCCTGGCCACCTTTCTGGTGCTCAGTGGCGCGTGGGAGGAGGGCTGATGTGCTGGACAGCCGGGCGTCTCCCTGGTGAGGCAAGTTCTGCCGGATGGCATGTGCTGGAGCATCGAGTATCGTCTAGAAGGCCCTTCCCGAGGCCGCTCTAGGGCAATCTCAGGATTCTGGTTCTCCAGTACTCGTCAGCCCTGGTGGCAAAGTGGTTAAAGTGATGGACTGCTAACCAAAAGGTTGGCGGTTCAAAAGCACCAGTGGTTCCACGGGAGGAAGATGGATGTGGTGGTCTGCTTCCCTAAAGATTTACAGCCTTGGAAAGCCTACGAGGTCACTATGACTTGGAATCGACTTGACGGCAGTGGGTTTTGGTCATGGTGTTTGCCCCTCAGGGTGGGGGCAGTCTCTTCTTGTTAGTTCTGAGATGCAGGGGTCCATAAGGGTTGGTGAGGAAGCAGGGTGCCTTCCCCTCCTGCCCCTGGTCAGAGCCCCCAAGAAGCCAGAGAGGGCCTTCTTGCCAAGGAGGCCAGAGGAAGACACCGTGTGGACACAGGCAGGATCAGCTCAGTGGCAGCGTCCAGGTGGGGAAGGCAAGCCTTCTGGCCTCCTGGCCCTCAGTGTCCTCATCTGCAAAGTGGGCTCAGGACCAATGCCTGGGCCCTTGAGGGGTCTCCTCCACAGGGCCCCCCTGCCAGAAGGGGCGCGGCTGGGCCTGGAGCCCGGGAGGCCGTGCGCGCGGGCCTGCGGTGGCTGGGCTGAGGGCTGGAGTGCTCTTCCTAATTGTCCATGACTTACAGACTTGGCGAGGCTCCCAGACAGCCTTCATAAATCAGCTCGGCCGAAGCAAACAGCCGTGAGCATGGCCCTTACGAGCTTTGCAGGCCTCTCGCCTCCTCCGCTCGGCAGTGTCCGTGCCTCCAATTTTCCATGTGGTGCTGCGGATCTGGGAGGCGCTTGGCTCAGCCGGCGAGGGGGTGGGAGGGCTGGGGCCAGGTGGCACTGGCAGGTTCCTGCTTCTGGAGGGACGTCCCCCAAGGGTCCCCCTTTACCTATGGCCTGGTGGGGAGATGGGGAGCCTGGGCCCAGGAGGAAGGGGCTTTTTCCAGGAGAACCCGTCTCTTCACGTGCCCCTCAACTGGCCCAGATTCGCATAGAGGCTGCACCATGGCCCCCCTACGCCAGGCATCAGAAGAAGTTGGGGGGGGTCCCTCGTGACCTCAGCCCTGGAAGGGGGCACTCACTGCCCTCTGCCTGGTAGACGGCTGCTGGGCCCCAGACTGTGGTGCCTCAGCTTCCTCGTCTGAAAAACGGGACTGTGACACTGTCCCCTCACCCCGGGCTTGGTCAGCACCCCGAGAGACCAGGAATGGGGGTTCGATCACCCAGCAGGGCTGGCACTGGGCGGCTGTCGAGCTACCAGCTCAGTAAAGGGCTGAGCCCAGCAGGGTGCCGTGGGGTCCTCTGTGCCTGCCCACCTGGGCTGGGAGGGTGCGGGGCAGGGTGGCACAGCCAGGGCCTGAGATGGGGGGGTGGGGAGATTCTGGGACAGTGCTGATAAAGGAGCCCACGGTGGGATGGGGCAGTGGGATGGGATCGGGAAGCCTGACAGAGGCATCTGAGGGCCAGGGTGCAGGAAGGGTGAAGAAACCCTACCTCTGTCCCCAGCCCTGGTGCGGGAGCCAGCTCTGAGGCCCCTGAGGGGTGCAAGGGGTGACTTTAGGACAAACGGCAGGCTGTCCCCAGCCGTGGCCTGTCTGGAAACATAAACAGACCAGACAGGTATAGGTAACTTCCTGCCTAGCAGATGCTGCGGATCATTCGGAAAGCTGGGGTGGGAGGTGCCGGGGAAGAGCTCAGGTTTGTGAGGTGATGTCTGGGATGCCTGCTCCCGCCACCCCCCGGGGCCCGAGGCAGACAGACCCAGGGATGGGCAGCGGCTGACCTCCCCCGCAGCTGTGGTGGGGCCAGCTAAGGCATCCTCTCTGCTCTGCCCAGCCTCTGCTCCGGGCAGCTCCTCCCTGAGCCCCCTCCCACTGCTGGGGAGCTGGAACGGTGTGGGCCCCCTGGCTCCTTCCTCAGGGCTGTGCTGGGGGACTGGGGCAGTGTGGGTCCAGGGCCTTCCTCCTCAGGGCTATGCTGGGGTACTGGGGCAGTGTGGCCCCGCTGGCTCCCTCCTCAGGGCTGTGATGGGGGGGTCGGGGCAGTGTGGACCCGCTGGCTCCTTCCTCAGGGCTGTGCTGGGGGGTCGGGGCAGTGTGGCCCCGCTGGCTCCTTCCTCAGGGCTGTGCTGGGGGTCGGGGCAGAGTGGCCCCGCTGGCTCCTTCCTCAGGGCTGTGCTGGGGGGTCGGGGCAGTGTGGACCCACTGGCTCCCTCCTCAGGGCTGTGCTGGGGGGTCGGGGCAGTGTGGACCCGCTGGCTCCCTCTTCACGGCTGTGCTGGGGGGCAGCTCTTCCCTGAGCCTCCTCCCACTGCTGGGGAGCTGGGACAGTGTCGGCCCGCTGGCTCCCTCCTCACGGCTGTGCTTCAAGCCGGCAGGCCCAGCTCTGCCTGACCTGCTCCGGGACTGCACCAACCCATTACCCTTCCTAGCCCCAGTCCCGTCTCCAGGGGAAACAACAGTGCTTTGCTCCCAGACTTGTTCTAAGGATCCAGGTGTCAGGCAGGTAGAAAGGTCAGGCAGGGAGGCACTTGTTATTGTCACCAAGACGCTGGGCTCAGGAGCCGGTGGGCGGGCGGGCAGCCTGGGCCAGAGGCAGAGCTGGCCCCCTTTCCTAAATGGGCACATTCAGAGACAGGGACATGAGGTGGATTGATGTCAGTCTCCCAGAGAAAACAGATGACGTGGGGAACCCAGGACTGGGGTGGCGGGCAGGGCCCTTCATGGCTCCATGGGCCTGGGACTTCTGGGCAGCCAGCCTGTGGCGGGTGAAGAGGGAAGGGGTGGGGGGGACCGACGGTGGCTCCAGCATCCTGCAGACACACCTGCCAGTCTCGGGGGTCAGGGGAAATGGGGGGGAGGCACCTTTCTCTCCCGAGTGCAGCCTGGCACCCAGTGAAATCTCAGCAGGCGGGCTACCAGCACGTGTGGGGCAGAGCGTGGGTGTGAAGCAGGTCCTTGGGGGCTGTCCAGGTGGGGAAAGGCAGAGGAAGCTGCTGTCTGGGGCTCGAACCATGCATGGTGGGGGCGGGGTGGGGGCAGCGTTAGACACAAGCACAGCAGAGTGTGGAGCAGTCCAGCTTGGCGGCGGTCCCGGTGCTTCCAGCCTTCTTGTTGATCTTGGGCAGCAGCAGGACGAAGGACATGGCCAGGGCGCAGTGGTAGAAGCTGTGGACGTAGGTGTAATCCCATTCCTGTGGGGCGTCGGGGGGTCGGTCTGCTGCCTCCTCTCCCCTCCAAGGCCCACCCCAGCCTCCCACTTCACTGGTGCCTCTGTGCCATAGCCTCTGAGCTGGGCGCACCTGGCACCCAGCCAGCTGTGCAGGTTAGAGGCTACCTTATGGCCTCTCCCAGGACTTCCTGCTCCAGCCCAGCCCCTCCTCCAGCCATGGTCAGTGGTCAGCGGGCCCAGGCAGCTGAGGAGAGCAGCTGCGGCTCTCTTGCCTCCCCCCCCACCCCCTCTCTCTTCCTCCCTTTTCCCCCTCGCCTCCCTTCCTCCTCCTCCCTCCTTCTCTCCCTCCCCTGTTCCCTCCCCTCTCTCCCTCCCTCCTTCCC